ACTATGGAAGTAGATTGCCCCATCTTCCTTCCGAGGAGTGGCTGGTGGGTTTGAACCGCCAGCCTTCTGGTTAGCAGTCAAGTGCCCAGGATGAGCAAATAATCCAAGAAGTTGGACTATATGAAGAATAATGTGACATCAGGATTGAAGGAAGGCATTAACAACCTGCGATATGCAAATGACACAAGTAGAAAGTAAAGAGAACTTGAAGCATTTACTGATGAAGATCAAAAACTACAGCCTCCAGAATGTATTACACCTCAACATAAAAACAACAAAAATCCTCACAACTGAACCAATAAGCAACATCATGATAAGTGGAGAAAAACTTACGTTATCAAGGTTTTCATTTTACTGGAATCCACAATCAGCAGGCATGGAAACAGCAGTCAAGAAATCAAATTTTGGCAAATCTGCTTCAAAAGACCTCTTTAAAAGGTTAAATGGTAATGATGTCACATTAAAGATTAAGGTGTGCCTCACCCAAGCCATTGTATTTTCATAATCACCTCATATGTCTGTGAAAGCTGGACAATGAAGAAAGAGCCCACAGAAGAACTAATGCATTTGAATTATGGTGTTGACATAGAATATTAAATATACCATGGACTTCCAGAAGAACAAACAAATCTATCTTGGATGAAGTACAGTAGGAATGTTCCTTACAATTAAGGAAGGCAAGTCTTTGCCTCTCATACTTTGGTAATTTTCAGGAGGGACCAGTCCCTGGAGAAGGGTATCATGCTTGGTAAAGTAGATGGTCAACAAAAAAAAGGGGAAGACCCTAAATGAGATGGACAGACACAGTGACTGCAATGATGGGCCCAAGCATAGCAACAACTGTGAAGATAGCACAGAACTCAGCAATGTTTTTTTCTGCTGTATGTAGGGTCAATATGAGTTGGAACCCTATCAATGGCACCTAACAACAACATGTGCCCAATGGAATCCCTGGGTGGTGAAAACAGTTAACATGCTCAGCTACTACTCAAAAGTTCTACTCAAAGGTTCAAGTCTATCAGAGTACCTCAAAAGAAAGGTCTGGTGATCTACTTTGGAAAAACCAGCCATTAAAAACCCTATGAAATTATTCCTAACAGCAAAAAAATGTAAACCTAAGTGCCCATCAATGGCTGAATGGGTAAGAAAAATATGGTACACACATGCAATGGAATGGTGCACAAATATAAAAGAATAATGATGGGTCTGTAGAACCTAACACAGATGGACTCAGAGGACATAATTGTAAGTGAAATAAGTCAATCACATAAGGACGCATACTGCATGATCCTTATTTTATAAGAAGAAAAGAACAGATACATACATAAAGAGACCAATATTCACTGGTGCTTACCAGGGAGGGTTGGGGGAGAGGTGGAATCATGTTCTAGATCATAGATACGAATTGTTTTTCATGATGAGAAAAGTGGCACCAAATATGGGTGTAATGAGAACATTTCAACCAAAGTAAATGATATAGCTGAGAAACACTCAAGAGAAAAGGATGCTTATACTAAAGAATTATATATATATTATATATATACACATGTATATATATGAGCAACATCATCAACAATGACCAAAAAAATGAGTACATAGACTCATATGTATGTGTATTGGCATAAAGGCATATGGGTAGGCGTGTGTGTGTGTGTGTGTGTGCACTGACAGAAGTATCTTTATGTACATATAAATACAGACATATTTGTGCAGGCATATATATTCATAGAAGACACAATGAGAGATACTCCTTAGACATAGCCAAATACCCTGAAAGATTGGTTTTAGAGGTTTGAAGGCTCAGGACCCTAGCCTCATGGGACAAGTCAGCCAACTGGCATAATATAGTACACAAAGTTCATGTGAAGTGAGTAGCAGCTAGGGTCCTAAAAGCTTGTAAGTGGCCATGTAAGATACAACTACTGGTCTCTACTTGTCAGGAATAAAAGAGTAAGAAAACCTAAGTCTCAGAGAAGAAACAAGCCTACAAGGTTAATAGCCTATATGAGACACAGCTTCATTTACCCTGACAACAGAAGAACCAGATGCAGTAAGCTACCACTTCCAACCATTCTGACTGGGGTCATAATAGATGATCCTGGATAGAATGAGAAAAAAATGAAGAATAAAATTCAAATTCTTAAAAAAGGCCAAACTATCATCCAGAGAAAAGAGAAATGAAGAAAACCAAACATGCATGGAAACAATTAGTCCAAGGGAGTGGTATACCATGTTATTCTCAGCCTGTATCACTATAAGACCAGAGGAACTATATGGTGCCCAGCTAGTACTGTCAACCACTCAGAGAGGGATCTAGATAGGAGATCTTGGATACAGTGGGAGAACAATGTGGAACAAAACACAAATCATTGGGAAAAAAAAAAAAAAAAAAGGGACCAGGTTTGTTGGTCTGATAGAACCTGGTGGAACTCCTGAGACTATGGCCCCTAACTGCCCTTTAGGCCTGAAATTGAACGCACTCCTGTGGCTTCCAGCCAAACAAAAGACAGGCATATGAGCTGAACATTTACATTACACAGACACACTCCTTGGAGAGATCTATCATGGGAGAATAGATGGGTTGTGCACTCACAGGGAGTCAGCTCGAGGGGCAGGAGTGCATGGGAAGGAAGGAAACAGGGAAGAGGTAACTATGGGGAAGAAGTGGGAAGAGAGCTACTTCATTATGGGAAATTACAGTCAATTTCATGAGACAAAGTGTATGGAAGATGAATTTACTCTGCCCACTTTCACCGAAATCAGAATAAAAATTGGGGGGTGGGCAAACTAATTGGACCAGTTGAGCCCAGAAAGGACTACTGCCCAGAAAAACTCTTTAGACCTTGATCTGAAACTATCCCGAGATCATCTTTAAGCAAACCAACAAAGTGACACACAAAATAAACGATACTACCTGTATGTATCAAACTCAAAAACCAAACTCACTGCTGTTGAATCGAACCTGACTTATAGAGACTCCTTCTTGGGTTTCCGAGACAGTTTCACTATGGAAGTAGACTGCCCAACCTTCCTTCCGAGGAGTAGCTGGTGGGTTTGAATGCGTTCTACTAAAAACCAGGTCTGTGAGACCAAAAGGTCACCTTTACTCTAAAGCAAAGATGAGAAGTTAAGGGGCTAGGGAAGCTAGGGTACTAGAAATGAAACAAGAAGACACAATTAAAGAGAATATTGACACACTGTGAAAAATGTAAATAATGTCACTGAATAATCTGTATAGAAACTGTCAAATGGGAACCTAAATTTAACATGTAAACTTTCACCAAAAACACAGAATTATTTTTAAAAAAAGGAAGTAACATTTTACTGGCCTAGAAATCAACATATTAAGTCAACAGTTAATAACAGACAGCTATTACAGTTCAAAATGACATATAGTTTAATATCACAAAGGCATATATTAGTCTTGATTACTCCTTTAGGAGGAACAGACAATATTAGCAAATCTGGGCAGATCTACCCCCCCCCCCATGCAAAATAAAGCTGTGATTAATATATTTAAAATCAGCTCATTTTTCTGGCAACTGTCAAAGGCTCACAAAATCCTAAAAGAGTCAACTTTAAACCAATTTGAAAGAAAGGAGATCAGTATATACCAGAATTTAGGTAAAGCATTACTTCCATTGTCTGGCATTTGAGGGTAAAAATTTACCTGGCAATATCTGGGTGTGAATCTATCAGAGTGCTGACAAATCGGAAGAACAGAGAGCCTTTCCACTTCACAAATTCCTCCTGTATAAAGAACAATTAGAATATTTCAAGATGAATTTTAACATATAAACCATGAATGTATTCAGTCACATAACCAACTACTAACTTTTTTTTAACATCATACCTGTCACAATCTGTGTATGGCACATTCATTCAGTTAGTTAACACTAACTTCCCAACCATTTTAAAAACATAAAATTTGCTAGTCAAGAAGTAGAAGAGAATGTGGACAGAACAGCATAAAATCTGCTGCATTAGAACCATGACTTAACGTACATGGCTTAACATCTTGAGAGAGCTATCTTGGTTCTTTACCAATTACGTAAACAAAGAGAAAGAAAAAGTTATAGTTTTAGGGTTTTGCTTGTGCCTCTAGACAGTATTAATTACATCATTCATCACTGTTAGATATACAATTTTATAAATTATAATTCTATAATTACATACACTCACCAGACCTCCTTAAAAGAGGCCATCATTAGATAAAATAAAATCCCTTTTTTAAAAGATCAGATGTTATTTTCTCCTTACAAGAGGCCAAACCTGAATTCTCAACATTAATAAGAATATCTAAATCTAGGTCCTGTAAAGTAGTGGAATAGGCAGAAAGACTGCATAAACCCTCTTCAACAAAGAAAAGGGGAACCAATTAACACAGATACAGAAGATAATCCTGGAGCCCTGGAGCCTTGAAGGGAAGGATATAGAACTGGACTAAACTCCAACTGGTAAAAAAATTTGCATGAAAACACCAAAAAAAGAGACATACGGAGCTGTGGTCTGGCAGCGATCCTGACGGCACAGACAGCTTGGATATTGACCTAAGAATTAACATAAAATTTAGCCCTCCTAGCCAGGGACTGCACAGAGGACTGCACTGGTGGCCAGTGAATAAAAGGGGAAACAGCAAAGAGGAAGGAGGGCTGAGCTGTGGACTTTTGCCTGTCTGGAGGGTGCAGCCATTTTGAATGTTTATAAGCTGTTTGACCATTTTGGCTATTTAAACCAACAGCTTTCTACCAGATTCCAGGGGCTTAAGAATAGGCTCTACATGCCAGAAACGGCAAGCACATTCTGGACGCTAATGACCAGAAAGGTACAATATTCCCCTTGTTACTCTTACACCCCACACCCTCTTTGTGAACGGAAGTGCAGCCATCCCTCACTCCCACCCATCTTCTGGGCTGGCAGGAATTCCATCCCAGTCTGTGTGCTTGGGCAGAGCCTGGGTGCCCTGCCCACTGAGATTTTTTTTTCTTTTTCTAGTTTGTTTTTATCTGTTTCAAAATTATTATTATTATTATTATTATTGTACCTTTTATTATTATTCTTTATTCTTCTCTTCCCAGGTTCTAGTTTTCAGCTTTTTCTCTCTTCCCTGTTCCTGCTTCCAATATTTCTTTCTCGTGGCTAACACCATTCCTTGTATATCTTTTTGCATTTTTCCCATTTTTTCTTCATTATTCTCCTACTCTACTTTTTTTCTTTATTGCCCTCTCCCCAGATTTTGGAGGGTTTTTTTTTTCTCCCTTTTTTTGGTGATTGTTCCTGTGTGTTTATGCAGTGTGTTTTTTGTCCACGTGCTTTTACATTTTTGTTGGTTTTTCAATTGTTGTTTTTGTCTAACTGAGCAGGAGACAGCAATAGTCCCCATATGATACAACCAGATTCGCACCTCCTGCAGCTCCACTTACTGAGTGACAGTAACCACTTCCTTCTCCACCAACTGGCCAATGATAAACGGCCACCATGAAGAGACTGACTGTCCTTTACTGCTGTTCATGAACAGTAACAGAGATATAAATGCAGCAATGTCAAAACGTCTCAGAGAACATCACAATCCACACAAAGGAGCAAGATAAAGTGGTAGAAACAAGGGAGCAGGATATAGACCCAGAACACATCCCTAAGGAAGTAGCAGCACTGGAACTCCCTGCTAAGGAATTCAAAAGAATTGTATTTAGGTATTGCAGTGTAGTAAATTACTTAGTATGGCTTTTCTACCCATAAGTCATTGTAAACTCAGTGGCAGAATGAGCAACTGAGGAGCTCCTGATTGTAAGTGTTATCCACCTGGGTTATTTCTGTTGGGCGTGGCACAATGCAATGTTATGGGAGGCTCACTCTCAGGTGCTTAGAATTCTGTTGTTATGATTGGTTGGTTTGGCCACTCTGCCGAGCTCAAAAGGAGGCCTCCTAGAGGCAGAACTCTGACTGCTGGTTGAGGAAAACATGCTGCCGAAAGAGACAAGCACTCCTGAAAGAGACATGTGCTGCTGGGAAAGAGATGCAAGAGACACGTGTTGTTGAGTAAGACACCGAGAGACATGCACTGCCGGGTTGAGAGACTGTGAGAGACTTGGCTGAGAGATGGTGGGCTGGGGAGAGAGACTGAGCATTTTCCCTGAACTCGAATTGTAGCTTGGTACTTCCCTAATAAACCCCATAATCTGTGAGTTCTGTGTAGCCACTGCAGTTAATTATCGAAGCCAGGAGAGAGGTGGTGGGGGCTTTGGGAGGAAAGGTTGGTGAAAGGGCTGGAGGGAGACAGCATGTCTGGCCTTGCAGTAATAGGCCTTGGGCTATTGATGGTGATTCTGCCTTCCTCTTGTGGGGTTCTAGGAGGTCAGAATATGTGGCCTCCTTGTCCTTTTTGCAGGTATCTTCAAAGGACTGAGAGACAGATCAAGGAAAACACTGACAAAATTGAGGAAAACACAGACAAAACCCTAGAACTAGAACAATTTTGGAAGAAAATACAAGAACAAAATGAAAAAATAAATAAGTAATTAGAAATGATAAAAAAATCTATAGATAGAAATCCAGATGATTAATACTAAATTTTTAGAAATAGATAATGTGTTGAAAGGGCAAGAATCGATAAAAGACAGAACTAAAGAGATTGAAAACAAATACATGAATACTTCTTTGGAAAGGGATTAATCAGAAAAACGATCTATACAAATGAAGACAGCCTAAGTTTCATGTGGAATACCATCAAAAGGAATAACTTATGTGTCACTGGAATTCCAGAACAGGCAGAGAAAAATAAAACTACTGAGAAAATTGCCCAAGATTTGATGGAAGAGAACTTCCCATTTATGATGTAAGATAAGTATATTCAGGAAGTCCAACGAACCCCAACAGGATAGACCTGAAAAGAAAATCACCAAGACATATCATCATTAAACTCACAAAAATCAAAGACGAAGAAAGAATCCTGAAAGCTGCACAGGAAAAACAAAAAGTTGCTTACAGAGGACAACCAGTAAGAATAAGCTCTGATTTCTCAGCAGAAACCATGCAGGCGAGAAGGCAATGGGATGCTAGATACCAAACCCTGAAAGAAAAAAATTTCCAACCAACAATTACATACCTGGCAAAACTGTCCCTCAAATATGATGGCGAAATTAGGAGATTTCCAGATAAGCAGAAACTAATGGAATTTGTTAAAACTAGACCAAACTTACAAGAGATACTAAAGGGAGTCCTTTGAACAGAGAACCAAGAATAGCAAGCAACAACTGACTATTCTGTATTAATACACAAGATGACATAATCCAGAAACCATCACTATGGAAATATCCAAAGTAAAATAAGTTTACAAGACTGTAAACAGAGAACCAGAGACATCAATTGGCTAATGAGAACAACTACAAACCCAAAAGAGGGAAAAACAGTAATTACAGATCAGCTAGATGGTGAGGAAGTCAAGAGAGTTGCAAGATAGAATGGACTTTTCTAAACTCAGAGAGAAAATTATAAATCACAGGGTAACCTCAAAGAAAAATGATAAACCTTCACATCACGATAAAGATGACAAGCATAAGTATTTAGCAAATACTAAAATAGCAACAAAGGAAATGATAACATGATTCATAAACATAAAGAGCTCAGCAAGAAAATTATATGGAACAAAGAAACCTGGAACACCATGAAAAAACATGAAACAAAATGACAGCAACTAATTCATACTTGTTGATAATTACACTGTATGTCAGTGGATTAAATACACCACTCAAGAGATGGAGAATTGCAGACTGGATAAGAAAACATAATCCATCAATATGCTGTCTAAAAGAGACACACGTCAGAGACAAAAAGAAAAGTAGACTAAAAATCAAAGGTTGAAAAAAGAAATATGAAGAAAATGGCAACCAAAAAAGAGCAGGAATGCCAATATTAATTTCTGATCAAACTGACTTTAAGACAGTAACCACAATAGGAGACAAGGAAGGACATTATAGTCACAGGGGACATGAAGCTCAATTGGCATAACATACTACACAAAACATTGTTCCACCTCCTACTTTGGTGAGTAGTGACTGGGATCTTAAAAGCTTGCAAGCAGTCATCTAGATCCAGTGATGGGTCTCTCCTCATCCAGAGCAAAGAAGAATAAAGAAAACTAAAGATTCATGGAAACGATTAGTCCTACCATGTGATCCACAGCCTATACAACTATGAGACCAGAAGAACTAGATGGTGCCCGCTACTACAGTCAACCACTCGGAGGGGGATCTATGTAGGAGATCATGGATAGAGAGGGAGAACAATGTGGAACAAAACTCAAAATCATTTGGGGAAAAAAAAAAGGGGGGACCAGGTTTGCTGGTCTGATAGAGCCTGGTGGAACCACTGAGACTGTGGCCCCCAGCTACCCTTCAGGTCTGGATTTGAACCCACACCTGTGACTTCCAGATAAGCAAAAGATAGGCATATGAGTTGAACATTTACCTGAGGTAGATACACTCCTTGGAGAGAACAATCATGGGAGAAAGAAGGGCTGTTTA